TTGAACTTTGAACCATGCGGCTTATAGTCCGGTGTGGCTTATTCGTGGATTTTTTTCTTCAGCCACCAGGGGGCTCTTATGCTCCATTTGCTTCAACCACTCGCTTCAAAAAAAGAAAGAAAAAAAAAAAACAGAAAAAAGCGATCGCTTCCAGAGCCGACTGTTGAACAGGAAGCAGCGATTTAAAGATAAACAGTGGTCAAAAACTCATAAAAGGGGATAAAACAGACATTTTTCACGGTGGAATCTGACTGATAAAAATAATTGGAGCTTAAAGGGCTCGACACATGGGAGGCGACGTCGCTCGCTCTCCATTCATTTCCTATGGAGCCTGTGCGGTGAGGCGACAATCGCTTGCCCTCCTCCAGCTAAGCGACCGGCGAAAATAGTGCATGTGAAATTTTGCRCTAGTACACGTAGACATGCACATGCGAGCTTCCAACGCGACATATGAAAGTTGAAAAATGTTCAACTTTTGTCGCTGTCGCTTAGCGTACAACCAATCAGCGAGGGTTTCATTGACTGACCAATGAGAGGAGAGTATGCTACATACTGCCGTTAGCCAACACTTTCACCAAGTGATTACTAAAAAGCTTTGTGGGAATTTATTAGCACCAGGGTGAAGTTTATGGTGAGTTTTTCCTCATAAAACTGTTTCTTGATGTGTGTTTGTTTTTCAATACCATTAGCATTGCAAGATTTGTTTAGTTTACACGTCCGTAATGCACACCCGCCTTCAGAGTCAAGAACCAATCAAATTTTGGGAAGACAAGCGATCTGAGAGCGCGATTCGCAACGCTGCAATCGCTATCGCGTCCCGTGTGTCGGGTTTCACCCTGGCTGCAATGACAGCCGTTAATCGCTGTAGTTTGTCGCTCTCCATGTGTCGAGCCCTTAATCCAGGACCAGTTTGTGGATAAACGTCGAGTGAAGAGCAGCTGACTTTTTTTTTCCGGCATTGCACTCCCCGGGGAAGGAATCCCATGCAGTGACGTATGCTGGAGCAGGAGGGCTTTCCCAGCAGCTGGGCTCTGGGTTTCTTGGGGGAACTATGAAAGGTCAGTGCAAAAACAAACGCCGAACAATCATGTCGACAGCTGAGCGATCATACTGCCAGCTTAGCCGGAGGTGTAGCACCATTTTGTTTTAGCTAGTAGCAGACACGACATGACGGATCTTCGACAGACACGATATTGGACAGTATGCGGGCCCACATCACGGATTCGGTGAAAGCAGCCCTCAAAAAAACAAACTCAATTCCTGCTGTTATTCCTGGAGGTACAACAAAGTTTTTGCAACCCCTGGACATCAGTGTGAATCGGGCATTTAAAGCAGCACTCAGAGCTGAATGGGAGGCTTGGATGACTGATGGGGAAAAATCATTCACAAAAACTGGCCAAATGCGAAGAGCGTCATTTCCTGATATCTGCCAGTGGATCCTAACAGCGTGGAGCAGAGTGAATGAGTCCACCATCACCAATGGGTTCKGAAAGGCTCGTTCGTGGGKTTTTTTTAATAAATGGCAGGTGCGGCTTATAGTCCGGTGTGGCTTATAGTCCGAAAAATACGGTAGGCAGTGCTGTGTACCAGTAAGAAATTAGGCAGCTCAATATGGCTACCACAGGGGACTCAGATTTCTCAACCATGCATGAATGAGTCAAATTAACACTTAGGATATGTATTTGAAAAATGAATTACATTATAACATAATTTAAAACTAATAAAGTCAATTTTGCATAATGCCCCCTTTAAACAATAGTATTGCACATTGACTTTTTTGATTGTTTTGCAGCAAATCCATGTACCCTTTACTTGTAATAGTATTGTATGTGTGTTTTACATCACACAATCAGTAACAACGTAAAATGAGATGTTTCTTTTATTAGTCTACACTCGAATAGCAGAAAWCATTCTTCTTTTCCCATGTACAAGACTGAAAACCTAAAAAATAATTGCTAGCTGTAATAAAATATGTAGATATCTGAAGCGTCAAAACATCTTGCTTTTTTTTGTTTGTTTTTTTCCCACAAACAGCTGTTTATGCTGAAAGTATCCACAGAAAACTTCATCTTCAAAGGGCTTTTCTGAAGGGCCTGGTGGTATTATGTTCCAAACGGTGTGGTCAGGCAAAGATGTTGAGGGCATGACAGCAAAGGCTGCAGATGTTATCTTGTGTGTTTACTTTCAAGAAAGCAATGCGTTTCTAATAAATTGTTTAACGTGAGGACGCAGAGTGTCATCTTTTCTGCCGATACCAAATTWGCCAGTTTTGTCAAATAATTTTTAACTAATGGCTAATATAGTTACATATCCTTCTCTACAACAAAATTCAGACATAGCTTCTAATATTATTGTAATAATCCCTAAATTTATCTCTTTTTTTACAGTTTGAAACAAAACTGTGGACATCATCTTACACATTTGGGTGAGGCTCTCCCAGCTTCAACAGTAAAACTAGCCACTTTGGGACCAATTTCGWCTATGACTTCTACCGGTGTTATATTTATGGTTCAGTGGTGGTGGCATCCAGTTAAAATTTTACATCCTTGGTCAAAAAGGGTAAAAACAGAAAATTCTAAAACTAACAAACACATTATTGTGCTGCCATTAAAACTGTCATTTTCTTAGTCTCTGATTGTGTTCAGTGGTGGACAGTAACAAAGTACTTTTACTTTATTACTGTAATTAAGTACATTTTTTGAGTATCTTTACTTTACTTGAGTAGTTATTTATTTGGGAAATTTTTACTTTTACTCCACTACATTTCAAAGACAAATATTGTACTTTTTACTCCACTACATTTCTAGGAAGCTTGTTGTTACTCGTTCCTTTTAGATCAGCATAGCTTTATAATCCGCTGGAAAAAAAAAGAAAAGAAAAAAATCTGTTGTTCCAGTTTTTCTTTTCATGAAATGCAATTGGCCACAAGCTACTRTATGTTCGTCACAAAGGTAACCAATCACATGCGTAGCTTATAGCCTACGTCACACTCATTAACTCTCGGTAGCGGAGCGCGCGCTCCCATCACTTTATTTTCATTTCAAGCAGAACCAGACCAAAGAAGAAGAAGATGCAATGGAGACCACTGAGGAAACGCAAGGAGAGAAACCAGCACACCCATGGCCACATCTCAGTTCAATGTTCGAGGTTTTAGGACTTAAAAATAATACGTATCAGTTCAAATGTCTTCTCTGTTTACCACGGGTAAAAGTACCTTTCAGTATTCCATAACTCACCATCTAACCTGAGAAAGCACATTGAGGTAAGTCAGCAAACATTTTTCTCACCAGTTTAAACGCTTTAAATGAAGTTGACTTTGGTTAGRGTGGTTGTGGTTTAATGCTGTGAGAGATGATTGAAAAATAGCCKACRRTTGTGTGCTAACTGCTAGCTTAGAGCACCGTGCGGGTGCCCCTTGGGGCTCTGCGCTCGGGATCCCTCTCTGGCCCTTGGGCTCTGGTCTTCCCCATGTCTGCCTCGTGTCTTGGGGGTTGGGTCTTCGGTCCTCCACAGTCACTATTGAGTGTTCCATTGGAGAAATCTTGTATATACACACATGTTCACAACTGCTCACAGACAGGTGTTCTGATCCGTGGGGTTCTGACTGGTCACTGAGTGTGTATATATGTCTGTGTGTATATACGGACAATGTTTATGAATGTAGGCATGTATGTATGTATATCTTTATATATGTATGGGAATGTGTATGTGTGTATTTTTATATATGCCCTCCATGTATTTATCCATTTGTTTTTCAGGTGAGCAGACAGATGTTGGGTGTGTGGTCCTGTGTTTTGTTGGTGTATATTTAATATAATCCTAATCGCTATTTCAATCTTTCTATCTTTCTAATCACTTCTTTCTCTGTTTTTCTCTCTGTCTCTATTTTCTCTCCACTTAAAAAAGTCCCTTTTTTATGGATGGCCTCCCT